GAAAATTTCCCCTTCTTCTCCCATTCTTAATGTATCACTCTCTAGTGGACTGGTAACCCCAGCTAGAATTCTGGGTAGGTGGTGAAGCTGCATTATGCCAGAAAAGTCTTGGATAAAATAGTCCAAAATCTGTTCCAACCTTCTGTGTGCCCTACATAGTTAAACGTGCAGCACCTGAGTGAGAAAAAAGATGGTCCGCGTCCTACGCAGGCACGACCTTTGAGGGAACATACATCTAGGAAGAAGAGAAAGGGGGTTTCTGAGATTCTGCCTTTCTGCAGAAGGCAATGCTTTGTCATAACCACAGCTGCTAAAAGAACCAACCAAAGCAACTAGATGATGAAGAAAAGTGTCTGTGTCCCACAGGCACTGAAGATGTAATGTGAGATATGTTTGTGTGGATTGGTTTTTATTTCTAATTGAACTCTTGCTTAAGTTTTATTTATTTCATCCTTCATAGTCCCATAGAACCTGGTACATATTTTTAATATTATAATAAGAACACTATATTGTGACTGGGTCATAGAGTGTTCATCTGTCTACCCTATTTTGCCGTGAGATCCCTAATGTGTTTATTCATCTTTGTATCCCAAATGTGCACAAAGGCACAAAGTTGAGCACATTTTAAATGTTTAATCTGCTTATTTTTAAAATAGGTGAATGAAAGAATGACCATGGTAAGAGACACATTATACACTCCATTATCTTGTTCTGCCTAGGGAGAAGGAGAATAATAAAATTAGGCATGGGGAATGTCTCATCTTCTAAGTGACTCCACTTTATTACAACACTGACAAATGCACTCTGTGTCCGACAGAGGGTGCATTAGAGCAAACATTTCCTACAAGGCCCAACCCGCTGGAAAAATGTCTAGTTGGTGAAGGAGCTGTCTAAACTTTAACAGAACTCTCATGACCCCTAATCTCTCAGAAGAGATTAACTGCCTTTCTTAGCAGATGTGCAAACTCCTTGTTAGTGCCAGCTGGACTCATTTCAGATTTTATTTTGACAGGGCTAAACTAACGGGCAGCAAGAACTTTGTTTATTAAGAAGTTATCAGTGGGCTTCCCTGGTGGCGCAGTGGTTTAGAGTCCGCCTGCCGATGCAGGGGACACGGGTTCATGCCCCGGTCCGGGAAGATCCCACATGCCGCGGAGCGGCTGGGCCCGTGAGCCACAGCCGCTGAGCCTGCACGTCCGGAGCCTGTGCTCCGCAACGGGAGAGGCCACAACAGTGAGAGGCCCGCGTACCGCAAAAAAAAAAAAGAAGTTATCAGTGTAACTCCTTAAGTCACTATGTTATGTTATACGCAACCCCAAATCACTGGGCTAAATTAATTCTCCTCATTCACTCGTAAGTTAGACATGCCACCTCTCCCTAAGGTACCTGACAGAGAGGAAGACCATCTACCTCAATCTTTTCTTTAAATTCACGGTCACCTTTCAAGACTGTGGAGCTCTCAGAGGGTAGAACAGCATGCTCAAGGCCTGGGAATTCTAGGAGCTACTGTGTTCCAAGTCAACTTCACATCTACTTGTTCTGGGTCCAATGCGGGGGAGGGTGTGGAAAAGAACAGAGGCAAGGGTCTGACACCTCAAAGCTGCTCCTGAACTCATGGGAGCCTTTGTGTGTTTCAATTCTGGAGTTTAGTGTTCTGCTCTACGGTCTTGATACAGTAGAAAGAGCCTAGGTCTGGGTATGTCAGAAAGAATACAAGACTGAGTGAGTATCAGGAATTCTAGTGGGTTCTAGTCTCAGCTCTGCCAACAAACTAAGGTAATTAAACATGACCAGCCATTTTATCTTTCTAGGTCTCAATTTGTAAATGTAAAATAAAAATACTGTAACAGATGGTATTGATAGTTCTCTTCAGCATTCAAATTATAAGAACTCCATGCCTTATTTTACAGAGATCTAAACTACTTTGAGCCTCTGTCTTTAGCTGCAGCCACTAGAGCTGTCACTTGGTCTGGCAATGACAAATCAATCTGGGTGACTGTTCTTCCCTGATCCCTCCACCCTTGTACTTCCTGTTGACTTTGGATTAAGGAATTCTTTTCCTCAGCTGTGGTAACCTTTTGGCCTAGACACTGGTTTAAGGAAATAGAAGTACTATGACATCCCTATGGGGAGGCTGATCGTGGTGGTCACATGGCTACTTTCACATAGTCCTAAGGATAAATCCAGTAATTTAAAGTAGTCCCCGGAATTTTAGATTCCTCTTATATAGGAAAATATCTTTTTCATGGATATAAAAATACTCAAGTGTTTTGCAATTGAGGAGTAATTTCCTTCTTGATCATCTGGCTTGACAATCTCAAACTTCTGACTCCCCCCGCACTTGTTCACTTCTTCTTCCCTGTCCCTGCTTAGCGGTCACAGAGGTGTTAGAGACACACCCTATTTGGCATAGAACAAGGGAGGAAACTAACATCTCTAGAGAATCTCTGAATACAGATTTCAACCTGTGTCTATAGACTCCATACCACAGAGGGGTGAAAAGCCTGGTTTTGAACCCCTCCGCCTTTATCTGTTACACAGCAGGCCTGAGTGGACTGAGTATCTGCTGGGGCTGAGAGAACCCTGAAGCTCATTTCCCCAGAAGAGACTATCACAAAGTGGTATCTGATTGTGTGACACCTTCCTATGTGGAGAGGTGACCTCTGAGCACAGCCAAAGAGGAGAGCTGATGGGAGCAAAGCCACAGGTTGTAGTCCTGCAAGGCCAGATCATGTTGCTGTGTTTCTTGATTGTGGTTAATGCTCCATCTTAAAATGCTCTGCCAAGGCTTTCAGTGGTAACTGAGACATGGGATGATTCCGATGGATTCTGTGCCTGTATGTGAGAAGCACATCTCTCAGAGTTCCTAGGCACTTTCCCTTTAATCCTTATAGCACACATGTACGGGACAGTGATTATATCCATTTCACAGATAAGAAAACTGAGGCTCTGAGATTTTATGTAACTTGTCCAAAGGAACAAGGAATAAAATCCAGGTTTCCTCAGACTCCCAAGTCTGCTTTCCCATTGCACCATGCAATTTCCCAAAATAACCTGTCCTAATTCCAAAGATTTCTCTTTCTACATGAAGCAAAAGATGATTAAAAACTGCCAGTAGCTGAGAACAAAGAACAGAAGTGACAATAGTTAATGCTAAATGGTAAGTCTGACTGAGTCTCCATCCTTGAATTTGTTTTAGTCCGTTTCGGAGATATATTTAATCATATTCAGAAGAATGGAAATAGGTTAAGTTTGACGCTGAATTAGCTTTTCTTCCGAACATGATCCTGTATAAACGTGTGGTAAAATTTTCCTCCCCTAATAATATTTGGGAGATATTGGGAAGGTCTTATCTGATTCTCATATGAGTGTGTTTTTCCAAAACCAGCTGGCTGCCGCAGGGCTTGGCGTGCTGGAGTCAGCTCACACTGGCTCTGGTGAACTGACTGTATCCATCTATTTTCAACTCTGGCAGCTTGAAATCAAGCCAAAGTGAGAGCATTTACTCCATGGAAATCAGTAAAATATACAAACCACCAATTGCCCTCCCCCGCCCCGCCGCCCTTTTTTTTTCTCCTGGTGAGCTTGTTGTTAAACATGTATCCTTACATCTCTGTCATTCTTAATCATAGATATCTAGTAATCTGACAGCATAAATGACACAGTATTTCCAGACCAGGTTAGTTTTCCTAGGAATATGGTTCTCTGTCATGGCATCACGATAACTGAAAACTGGCCCAAGGGGTTATAGTGTGAAAACACCCCAGACTATTAACTCGCTGTGAGCATAGAGATTCTCAGAAACTTGAAAGAGAACTCCTGTAAACTCCCTCCAGTATCTTTAGGAGAAGCCAAGGATAATTATTCCCTTAAGAATATTAAAGAGAGCAAGAGGAAAAGGGGGAGGAAGGGGAGACACATTCATCAAGAGAACCCATTAAAACCTTCTCCAAAAATATCCTTGATATTTCATGTAAAATCCCAGTGTAGATAATTTGTTTTGTATAGATAAAAAGTTAGGCTCAGGCTAATATATCAAAGGAACAATTAACTATAATAGATGCACTGACACTAAGAAATGTATGGGAAGGGGCTGATCTGGCCAAAGCTTCAGGATCCCCCCCGCCTAAGGCCACCTCTCTTTGGACTTTCATGTTCCAGCTCCAAAAACATAGTTAAAACACTGACACATAGCTGATGGCGGTGTAAAATGGTATAATCATTCTGGAAAACTGTTTGGCAGTTTCTAATATTTTAAAATATTTTACTCGAGAGTAATAAAAGTTGTTTGCACACACAAAGCAGCTTTATTCATAGTTGCCCCAAACTAGAAATAACACAAATGTCCAATAATAGGACCTTTGTTGTATACTCATACATTGGAAGACTGCTCAACACTTAGAAGGAACAAACTCTACAATAGCGTGTGTGTCTTAAAAACAGTAGCGGAGTAAAAGAAGTACAAAACAGTAAATATCTTATGATTCCATTTGCATGAGATTTACAACAGGTGAAACCAATCTGTGGTGCTCAGAATGGTTGCCCCTGGCCTGGGGTTGGAAGGATTGACTGGGAAAGGGCATGAGAGAATGTTCTGGGGTGATGGAAATGTTTAATTCTTGATTGGAGTGGTGATTACAAGGGTATATATAGTCAAAACTGATCCAACTGTAATATTATGAGTCTTTTATGAAATGTAAATTAGAGCTCGATTGAAATATGAATGTGTATATCTATGTATAAATGTAAAGAAATACATATACTTAAATTTCTATTAAAGGGTCTAATGCAATGAGCCCAGCTCCCCTTGGCCCTGTGAATTTCACACTTTCTGCCCTTCAAAGACGTGGACTTTGTGCTTTCGAAGTGTGGATTCAAGCTTCAGCGTGATGCTGCAAGTTGGAACCTTGTGCAATCACACCCAGGTCATTTCCCTCTAGCCTGTGGACTTCCCATCTCTGACACAGTGCCCCATCTGGTCATCCCCGCTCGGCCACTGGAGAAAGTTTGGGAGGCAGGTTCAACTTGGTGGGGAATTCCTCTCCCCCGCCCACACTCTCCAACGCCCAGGGGGCGGCAGGGTCAGAGCTCTCAGGGCATGAATCAGTCTCCCCTCCAGGCTCCGCAAAGGCACGCTCCGCCCTGTCCCGGATCAGAAGGACGCTCACCCCACATAAAGCAGCGGCACCCACCACGCTGGAACTCAGACTGCCTCGAGGTTGGACGCTGTGCACCTTCCTCCCGCTGGCACATTCTGGGGACGCCTCACCCCACGGGCGGCTTGAATCCAGACACCATGTACTCTGTTCACCCCCTCCGGCTGGTGCTTCTGCCGCTGCTCCTGGTGGGAACTGCGCTGGGAGATGCTCCTCAAGCGCCGCCAGGTATCTCCCTGCCCAGGGGACCCCCTTATCGCCCCGGCCTGGCGGCGAGGGCTCCGCGGACCCCTGCACTCGCTCTCTGTGCCCCGCTTTCCCCGCTCCCTGCCGTGCACCATGCAACGGGGCACTTGCACCCAAGTTTGCACTGTCTTTCTCTGCAGATGCCCTTCTGCTGTGCTGGGAAGCTGCCGGGACAGAACTCCCCGGGAAGCCTCTCCCTCCGCGGAGATGTGGCTGACCTCCTTCTCTCACTCTCTGGCTCTCCTTCTGCCCCTCCTGTAGGAAATAACGCGGAGATCTGCCTCCTGCCCCCGGACGAAGGGCCCTGCCGGGCCCGGATCCCCAGTTACTACTATGACAGGTATACGCAGAGCTGCCGCGAGTTCATGTATGGGGGCTGCGAGGGCAATGCCAACAATTTCGAAACTTGGGAGGCCTGCGATGAAGCTTGCTGGAGGATACAGAGTAAGTGCTCGCACGCACACTCAAGACTCTTGTGCTGCTCCTTGCACTGAAGGGCTAGTAGTAACTTAGCTTATTTTCCAGATCCCATCTTCTACAGTAAGTTTTAGCCTGAATTTTCTCAAATATTAAGTAAGGCTTTTAATGCTTTTCAGTTTACCACAAGTGATCACAAAGTTTACAATGCCTAAGACATCTCCTCTCTCCTAACTGGCATTTATCATAATTCACTGCGTGTGCAGACTCAGGAAAAGATTTCACCAGTAAGACATAACACTGCAAGAGTATAATGTATTAGGTGCAACATAAGGGCTTGTCTGTATTTATTATAGTTCTAAACCTATGGTTTTTATGCCTCCTTGAGAACAGCATTTTCTCGTGTCCACTATCTATCAATCTGAAATACTTTTAGTGGATTTTGTTATTAAAGTGTGATTTAGCTAATTATAACCTTATTTTTGTCCCCGATACCCCATCAGGTCTTAGATTAGTATAGAGATATAGTGGAGATTCACGATGCTGTTTTCGATTTTATTTTAATTATGTTTATTATCTCTGTTAAGGCCTGTAACAGAACCTGGGGCTCTGCTATTCAAGGAATTGAGCCAGGGAAAAATGTGTATTCCTATGAATAAGTCTGATTAACTTCGTATGTAGAAACAATCAGAATACTCTGAGAAAATAGTCTTTCTACTGAAGTTGAAAATTTATCATAGCTGAGCCAAGTCTGGAGACACTGTTAAAAAAAAAAAAAAAAAAAAGCCGAATCCAGTTGCCTCTCAGTGTCTGTGGGGATTGGTTCCAGGACCCCACCCCACCCATACCAAAATCCACAGCGTTTGTCTATAACCTATGCACATCCTCCCTTATACTTTAAATCATCTCTAGATTTCTTATAATGCCTAATACAACATAAATGCTAGGCATATAGTTGCCACCATAGGACAAATTTAAGTTTCGCTTTTTTTTTTTTTGAACTTTCTGGAATTTTTTTTCCTGAATATTTTCTGTCTGGGGTTGGTTGAATCTGTGGATTCTGGACCCAGGGATACAAGGTCTCACTGTAACTGGACTAGTGGGCAGTCTTTTGGGGGTTTACTAGCCCAGCACTAAATATGATGCCTTCCCCCACTCCACCCCTGGCCACCACCAGTTGTTTCTGAAAATACAGTAAAGTTTTGAAAGTAATACTAAGAAGGTTAAATTTTTACTAACATTGTTTTATGCTCTTCTTGTCCTAGAAGTTCCCAAGATTTGCCGGTTGGAAGTCAGTAAGAGGCAGTGTGGGGAGCTCAGAGAAGTGTATTTCTTCAATCTAAGTTCCATGGCATGTGAAAAATTCATATCTGGCGGGTGTCACAGCAGTGAGAACCGGTTCCCGGATGAAGCTACTTGTATGGGCTTCTGTGCACCAAAGAAAGGTAAATATTCTTTTTACAGTGTTTCTATTTCATTTCTTTATTAGGGTTTTAGGGTGAAAAAGTTAACAATTTGATGTGGAATGAACATGGTTTGCGTTCTGGTGATTTCACATATAATATGATATCAATCTTCACACTATTGCCCTGTGAGGGAGTATTATTATCCCCTGTTCTACATATTAGAGTGCAAGCTAGAAGTTAACAACTTGCCAAGTTCTCAGGGCTGGAAAGTGACAAAGCTATGATTCAAGTTTTGCTTCCTCTTCTGCATTGTTTCTTTAGAACTATTTCTCATCTACATAATTTACACGTAAAAAATTACAATCTTCATTAATGACATGACCTCAGGTTTGTATGAAATCAGTTGTATATATGAGATAGTGTGATAGAAAGACTTCATGGTGAAACCTGAAAATTTCTAAAGTTTTTGGTTAGATTTCTGTGTTCTTTAGTAGTTACAAATTGTAGCACAAATTGATCTCTATCCCTCTTTTCTCTCTTCCCCATTGCTTACCTACATTCCCCCCACACAATCCCTAAAATCATGGGTTACTTGGGTAGTATGTAACGTTTGTACAGGCATTTTCCGTAGGCACAGCAGAGACACGTACACAGAGATAAATAAGTTCAACAAACAAGGAAAACTTGCTTTGGCAGAGACTTTGATAAAGCTCTGTAGCTATACAGTGTTGAATATGCAAAATCTTGAATTAATGAGGAGATGGTTGTTGCTGGCGTTCTTTTGAATTGTTTATGTAAATGTAAGTGTTTCAGTGGCTACCTGGGAATTAGATACATGTATTCTTGATTAATAATGGAAGGAGAGCTGATAAAAACATTTTAAATAAAACTACCAACACAAGAGAGTTTACCAAAGCATGTCACATATTTTCCCATGAAATGTAGCCCATTTTTACCTGGCCATATCTGTTTTTCAGGTTTAATTTCTTTACACATTCAAACGATACAAGGATATAGCTTGATATTCTGTCCACTTTATAAAAATTTAGAGTTAACAAAATATGGCATGTAAGCTGTTTTGAAATTCAAGGCACACTTTTTAAATGGCGTAGTATATTTTGGATTCAGAACGAAGCTTCTATGGGATTAGATTTTCTTCAGTTACTTCAGTAATCAGCACAGTTTAGTAAATATGCTATTACTGCATTTTTAATTTTATTTTCTTTTTCATTAAGGTCCATCATTTTGCTATAGTCCAAAAGATGAGGGACTATGCTCTGCTAATGCAACTCGCTATTATTTTAATCCAAGACACAAAGCCTGTGAGGCCTTCACCTATACTGGCTGTGGAGGGAATAACAATAACTTTGTTAACGTGAAGGACTGCAAACGCGTTTGTGTAAAAGGTAGTGGATTTTTTTCTTATTCAGTTTTTAAACTAACTTTATAAATAACTCATAAGTAAAATTATATTTTGATGTATCCATTTTACTAATAACATATTGCCATTTCTAGACTACTTCTACATAGATAGCACTTTAGTACTGGTCAGTTCTGTCAAAATGCTGATACTGGCTAGGTAGAGTGTTATTGACTAAGTGGATAGTGAGTAAAACTGACTTTATAATCATTAAAATTAAAATGAGGTGAGTTTGTAAGCATGTCGTAAGTGGTGATTTATAGCGAGCCTACAGACTGGGTAATACGATGTTTATTTTTATTTTGTTGACCTTAGCCTTGAAAAAGGGAAAGAACAAGAAGATGCCAAAGCTTCTCTTTGCAAGTAGAAGACTGAAAATTAAGAAGAAGCAATTTTAACCCCTTTTTTTTTCCCCGTATGTCATCTTGTGAATGCCTTTATGATTATATCTGAAGGATAATATGGTAACACAAGTAAGCGAATCATTAGTGATTTATTCACCAGTTCTTATATTTTTAAATTTGTGTATTTTTTATACATAACTAGCTGCTATTCAAATGCGAATCTATTATTTTAAATTTAATGTTCAACTATTTTTTTATGAGGTTAAATTCTTGCTGTGCATAAGATATAAAAGCAAATATGACTCACCCAGTTCTTGGGGTTGCTCTCCCTGACTTCAGAAGATGATAGTAACTGAAAAATATAAGACAATATAATCATATTCTTTTAACACATAGGATTATAAAAAGGACCAGCAAATATATTTAATTTTGCATTTAAAAGTCAGATTATATTTTGGGGCCAAGGAGACAAACTTGCAGACTTACCAACACTTCAAAAAATGTTACAAATGCTACTATGTAGACACTGCTAACTTACTTCTATTTCTACAGTGTCATTTAAAAGATAATAAAATAAAGTAACTTTTTTGACTGAATTAAAAAGCTAGTAAAGTAATTACAACCAGAAATGCACTCCTCGGGTCGGGGTGGGGGGATTCTCTGTCTCTCTCTCTCTTCATCTATCCATCCATCCCCACTCAGCGTTAAAATTTTTGTACTGTTCAAGGTGCTTATTTATACTATACCAGAGACAATGCATAAATTTAATAATTTAAATTCCACTAATAAAATATTCCTGATAAATATGATCATCCCATTTTAAACAGTTTTTTTTCTTTCTCTGTAACAACAAGAGTTTTTAAAATTCCTACATTTTCTTGGCAAGATTAATGTTTAAAAGTATGCCCCTGATATGGCCAAATTATAAGTACATTTGCCCTTTTCTTGAGCAATCCCTCCTTTAAAAATCTATCCCAAAGGTATTGTGACAAAAAAAACCCCCAAAATGCTATATGTCATAGTTGATATATTATTTGGAATAACTGAAAACTGGAAACAAACCAGATACTCATCAATAGGGGGTTCGTTGAAGAAATTATGGATGAAAAATCAGCAAATTATCAATATGTGGATATCATCTGATCCTCAGGATACATTAAAGAAAAACAGGGTCTAGAACAATATGAATAAATACACACACACACACACACACACAAATCACAGAAGATACAAAGATATTAAAAATGTTTACCTATAAGATGAGGTAGGAGACAAAGGACTGGACAGGTATGGAAGTGAAATTTATATGAATGTACCTTACTATAGTTTTGATCCTGGATCATGTAAATATTTTGTGTAATTAAAAAACAAAATTAAATCAAAAAGAATAAAAAGCATTCCTTCTAAAACTGGAAACAAGACAAAACAATTGAACCTAAATGAATATCAAATAATGGCATAACTACAAAAAGGGTATATAATTATTTTCAGTGACTTTCAAAACTAGTATTTTGACTCTGTATCTTTTGGAGGATATAATCTAAGAGTCAAATAAATTCTGAAGATATCTAATAATACATTTTTTAGTCTGATTAGTAATATTGTTATTTTGAGCCTATCATACATAGAATACTATATTATATATTTTATAAAAATGTATTTGCCACCCTTTCATTGAAAAGTCTTTTGACAATCCAGTAGGAGTAAGTACACCTACTGTCCAGATTATGGTCACTAAAAGAAACCAGAGCTTGCCGAGTCTAGGTCTGGGACAGGAAATGTGTAAGATGAACCTGGGCCATCTTATACTGTAAAGCAAGGAAACTATCAAAGACTAATGAATTAAAAAAAAAAAGAAGACTAATGAATCACGTCACAAAAACAGAAGAGTAACATTAAGGGACTTCCACTGACCTAAAATGAGGCAATATGAGCATCAAAACAAAAAATGACCACAAATATATAAGTATACGAATATGAATATAACATGAGTTAATAATTACACATACACCTCCTTGGTGACACTTAGAGGTTGCTAGGGCATTATCTCATTACTCTGAAAACTGATGAATTAGAAAAATACTAAAGTACTTATCCTTTTTTATTTAGTCTTAACAACTAAATAGTGTACGAGAGAAAGTTACTCAGAAGAATCCCACCTAATACATGCAATAAAATGTTAGAAGATACCCCTAATGAAGTATGCATCTAGGTAATGATCATCTGTGGATGCTGAAACCATGGCATGAAAGGTTGATGGTGAACAGTATCATGGAGAAATCAGACTAATGTCTCTGAACCCATGGATAATTTTAACATTACTAAAAGTGTGCCAACAGACATTATTCACTTCTGGATGTGATGCAATAAGAAGTGTACACCCTTTCTGATGAAGTAATCTTTCAGAAAGAAAGAGAGAAAAAATTAAACCTGAAGTTAGGCCAGTCTCTAGAGCTTACTATCATATTGCCAGATTGTAAGGTACTCTTGGTGGGTAAAGGAGCAAGTTGGAAGAAACCAGGGAAAGTCAATCAGCCAAATACATAATATTGGACATTCTACAGGACAAATATCCTAGTTTCTCCAACAAACCAAAACAATTTTTAAAAGGAGGAAAAAGAGGAGACAGTGCTTTTATAGAGTATGAGATGTAACAACAACAAAAAGCCTGTCATTAAAAGGTTTTCAGTTGAATAAGGCCTGTATTTATGACTGCTTTTGGTGGTTTCTGAGAATGACTACAGCAGAAGGATCTTGTGTGTGCTCTGGGGTTGTCGAGTGAGCGATACAGAGCCTCTGGGCATGGTGGTTAGGGGGTTTCAAGCACTACAGGGAAGCTTGATTTATTTGTTGACTTTAACCCACCCTGGGACCAAAGCCCTTTGGGGATCATGGACCTGACTTAGCTTACAGCTACAGCTTTCTGTTCAGCAAGAGTAGGAGGTAGACTTTCTGATATAACTGTTCTAATAGCCCAAACCTCTGCCATTTTAATTTAATGACAAAATAAATAGAACTGTCGTAGGACATTCTGCAGTTGAAGGGAAATTCCTTTTTGCCACAATCAGCTTGAAGACAGGTCACTACTGTGATTTTACCAGACAGCTGTTTAAAAGGAATGTCTCATTCCGTGACACAAAAAAAGGAATGGCTAGCTTTCAAATATCACAGCCTCTTACTGAAAAAAATTACTCTGGACTACCACTTATGCACACACATTGTCACATGTTCACCCACAGAAACTGCAGTGGAGCCTTCTAGATTGCCTGGATCATGGTACCTCCAAGTGTACATGTTATCTCTGCCAACAGTCTTGTAGACATTTAGCTAATGATGTTATTCAGTAAGGGACTGTCCTTTGGCATGTCCTTCCCTGCATTATAAGAGTGGTCATAGAAGCTTGTCTTTAGAAGCTTCATGTTTCTAAAAAAAAAAGAAAAAGAAAAGAAATGTCTTGCGATAAAAATAAGAAAAAATAGAAAAGTGCAGAGTTGTAGCTTTAAATATTTGTTGTCTATATATTCTGTTATAAATATAGAGATGGAGGCAAGTAAATATGGGAATCAAAATCATCTACAATTATTTCTTCTCCCTTCACCCTTGTATCAATTGGTCACCAAGTGTATCTATTCAAACCTATTCTAATCCTCCTTATCTTACTCCAGAAAATTAAAACATTCTCCCAAGTTTCCTCCCTGCCTATGTCTGCTCCATATCCAATCATCCACACTAAGGCCAGGGTAATCTTTCTTAAAAAAAAAAAATCTTATCAGGTTACTCTTCTGCTTAAAACTCTTTAGTGGTTGAATTGGGAGATTGGGATTGATATATATGCACTAATATGTATAAAATGGATAACTAATAAGAACCTGCTGTATAAAAAAATAAATAAAATTCTAAAAAAAACCCTAAAACAAAAAAAAAACACTCTTTAGTGGTTTCCTATTAAATCTTCATGTTACTGTCCAAGCCCCTAGTATGTCATTTAAGACTTCCTACAAGTAAAACATGACATTCTGCTCCAGCTTCATCTCCCCGATTACACCATCATCTATAACCTACAATTCAGTTGCACTAAATTGTGTTCAATTTCCAAAGCATGTCATAGTGCTTTATTTTTCTATAATACAGTTATTAAATTTTGTGCATGAGAGCCATCTGGGCAGCCAGGCACAGTACAGACTCCTAAGCCCCATGCCCAGGGGTTTTGATTTAGTGGTTTGTGTTGGCACTCAAAGATGTACATTAAAAACACTGGATCCAAATGATTAGAACGTATACTTGCACGACACGTGAGGAATACAGTTTTATGCCTTAGAATGTTTACTTTTCCTTTGAAAATAGTATCCATCCCTCCTTAAGAACTACTTGACAAGTTGAATCTTCTTGTTGGCACAGCATTCCTTCACCCTCCTCAAGCAGGTTTAACCATTTGTTCTGTGGGCTTGGCTATATCCAATACAATTCCTAGTCGCTCTAACACAGTATTTAATTATTTTCCCAGGAGTTTTATTGTTAGGGTGTTCGGGTTTTTCAAGCAAAATTAATAGGTTTTTTTCATTTTAAAATATATTATCATACTCACTGTACAATATATATAAAATAAAAGAAAAATATAAGGATAAAAATAAAAACAATCCAGTATTTTACCACTAAGTGATTAACAACATTTGTCTCCTTGAGGGAGAAATAACTTAGTCAAGAGATATGAGCATTTTTATGCTCTCAGTATATACGAACAAACTGCATTACAAAGTTAAATCAATTTGTCCCCACCTAAGAATCTATGCAAATGTCCAACAATTTGGTTTAAAATAAACAGAAAAATAAATCACTTCTTTATAATTAAGTGGTATCTAATCATTATTTTAACTGGTATTTCCAAGATTATTACTAAATGTTGCACTTAAAAATATTATACATTTTCTCTCATTAAAGGGTAATACTTCCCTTTAAACTTAGCTTACAACGTTAACATAAAAATAGAGCTAATATTTTATAATCGAATTTTTAATAATGAATTGTTTCAAACATAGAAAATTACAGAAAACATTATAACTGACCCAATTTAAAATACATGATAGGAGTTTGCCAGATTTGTTTCAGGTGCTTTTTCTATTTTAAGAAATAAGATGTGGCAAATAGAGCTTAAGACTCAAATGTTCCTCTGTCATCCCATCTCTCCCTTACTCTCCTGAGAAGTAACTGCTCTCCTAATGTTGGAGTATATACTTTCTGTGCATATTTTAATGCTTGTATTATAAATATATTCACCCACAGCAATATGAAGTACTCTTACACATTTTAAAATTATTTATGATGTCACACTATGTATCCATTGTCATCATGCATTGCTACCATTATGTTTTAGGTATAGTCTATAAATCCACATTGTTTCATGTAGATCTGCTTCATTTATTTTGACTACACAATGTTATTCCAGTACATGAATACAGTATAGTATATTCATCCATTTCCCTATTGACGTATATTCCCAAATTTTTGCTTTTATAAGCAATATAACAAATGTTTATATACATATCTCATATTACACACACATGGACCTGGAAGTGGAATTGCTAGTTAAAGACACGTTCATCTTCAACTTACTATATTTTGCCAAATCACTCACCAAAATATTGGTGCCACTAAGCACCAATGTATACAAATTTCTATTTCTTCAAGTTTTTGACAACACTGAACACTGTCAAAGTCTTTAATTGTTGCCATTCATAAGTGAGAAATTGTACCTCACTGTTGTTTAATTTTTATTTTCCTGATTAGTAATGATGCTGAGAATCATTTTTTT